TCATTAATTGATTTTGTGATACAAAAAGGTTTGTTGAGAGACGACGATGAAGAACACGACGCCGACGGATCTGATTCTGATTCACAACTTTCAGACAATTCTAACGACAACTTCGACACCGATTCGGAGGAGTCGGACAGGAATGAGAGGAATAGTAGTAAATCGAGAATAAAAGATAGGAATAGAGAGAGACAGACGAAGGGCCGCACCGTTAGGAAGACCAATGATTTGGATCCAATGGATCCGTCGGCCTATTCTGACATTCCTCGAGGCAAGTGGTCGGACGGCTTGGATAAGAAGGGCGACGTCAAGAGTGGTGTGGACTCGACGGCATCGGGACCTTTGTTTCAGATGAGGCCGTATCCCAATCCCGGGGCTGTTCTCAGAATGAATAAAGAGAAGCACAGCAAAGGAAACAAAAGGGGGAAAGAGAGCAGTGATGATGAGGACTGACCCCAACACCACTTATCATTAAAATAAAAAAAACTTATTAAATGAATTTTTGGTGTCATATCTTTAATTAAAGCCTAATATAGTGCACAACCGGACTAAATGTTATACTGTTTGTCCACTACTGGTATTTTGTTCATTGCTTTTATTTATTAATAAACCGATCATGGTTTATTATCAGGTAACTTATTCGGGTTATATGAATGGCAAAAGTGTATGAATTTAAGATAATTATTTCAACTCAATTATTAATGGATAGTCAGACAAGTATTGTGCAGTAAATTATAGATAATTGATTGCAATTAGTGTAATACAAGAATAAATTGAATTATTAATAGCACATAAACTGTAATAGTATTAGACCATGATAATTGCCAGTGATACAGTGTACAGTACAGTATGAGACAGGTAAAATTACGTAATGTATGTGAACATAGGATTGCATGTGATTTGAGTCAAAATGTTAATTAAATTGAAAACATTTCTAAATAAACTGTAATTTGAGTAGCATACAGAGTGTGATCGGTAGTTAAGTACGTTTACACTCTGTGGTAGTCTACGACTTCTGATGTCGCTTAGGGAACACAACTTCGGAAATGGCCTGCCTGTGAAATATGCCTTCTTTGAGCTGAAGACCGTTTGGCACAAAGATTTGCATTCAATTAATTGGGGTATTGTTTGCCACTAATTGTGGTTAATGTTAACGTATGTCTTGTCATGTCTTAAGCCAATCGATTCAATGTATTTCCACTGTCTTTGGGAAAACTCATTTCCAAACATGAATTACAAGAACTACACTTCAGTCTCACGAAAGGCGTTTGGAAACACCAGCGCTGGGGGTATGCCATACGTGAGGCACCTCCTAATGCACAGCTATGGCTATGGTTCCAACACTTCCACAAAAAGTATTGTAGTTTTCATACGGATATCAATTGACAGATAATAAGCAAACCGTTTGTTTTAGTCCTCAAAAGGCGTGGAGAGACATCACGAGCGAACTCTCCGGTCAGTTCTGTTCGTCCATTAATTTCATCGACAATTCAGCCACAGTTCAGCCGAAGTATTCGCTGAGACCGGAGGGTGTAATCGATGGCAACTCTTTGCGAAACGGTTCCATATTTTACGGCGCTTTACCGCACGAATCGGTCTGCACTGAGAACCTGACGCCTTGGAAGAAGTTGTTGCCGTGTTTTGCCACCAAAGGGTTGGCCACTCTTCTCAACGCCGCACATCTCTTCAATTCGTATTACTTTTCTCTGGCCGTCGACTTCAGACCCATTTGTTGAACCTGACGCCTTGGAAGAAGTTGTTGCCGTGTTTTGCCACCAAAGGGTTGGCCACTCTTCTCAACGCCGCACATCTCTTCAATTCGTATTACTTTTCTCTGGCCGTCGACTTCAGACCCATTTGTCGAGTAAGTCATCATTAAGTGCTTAACAGTTGTATTGATTTCTTAAACATTTGCAACCAATTGTCTCCCTCTAAAGGACATCCATTGTGAGTCAACTTCGGTTGAATTGATTCAAAGTATTTCTGTTGTCTTCAATCCTCCCGTTATGTTCGATGGGAAGCAGAGCTGGTCTTTAGTCAAACTGTTTGGCACAACACTTACGAGCACTTGTAGTTTGGCCGCAAAGACTACTTTATATATTGATTTAACGGATACTAACAGCAAGAATGCCTCCAAACTGACACCAGAGCCCACAAAATTGGTTTATTCGGTGATCGGCGCCGAAGAGCGTAAATACGCGGCCTATGATCTCAAACAGATAATGACTCAAAACGGAAAGGCTCTAAATTGAACCTGACGCCTTGGAAGAAGTTGTTGCCGTGTTTTGCCACCAAAGGGTTGGCCACTCTTCTCAACGCCGCACATCTCTTCAATTCGTATTACTTTTCTCTGGCCGTCGACTTCAGACCCATTTGTAGAGTAAGTCATCATTAAGTGCTTAACAGTTGTATTGATTTCTTAAACATTTGGAACCAATTGTCTACCTCTAAAGGACATCCATTGTGAGTCAACTTCGGTTGAATTGATTCAAAGTATTTCTGTTGTCTTCAATCCTCCCGTTATGTTCGATGGGAAGCAGAGCTGGTCTTTAGTGAAACTGTTTGGCACAACACTTACGAGCACTTGTAGTTTGGCCGCAAAGACTACTTTATATATTGATTTAACGGATACTAACAAGTTCTTACGGAGGTTTGACTGTGGTCTCGGGTGTTTTAACCAAATAAGCCACTAGCCGCGGCTTCTCGCATTTATGCGCCGGATACTAGAGTTTGTCTATTACTGAGTTTTGCCTTTCCGAGATTTAATAGGCCAATACTTTCAAGATAACTTTGTTTACACGAATGTCAAACCGCCGCCTCTTTACGCCAACCGTTTCATCAAAGGTTACGGTTTGGCCGACGGAGGCATCACTTGTCATATATTCAACAATTTGGATAAACCCATAGAAATAGTGTATTTAGATGTCATTCCCTGGTATTTACGAATGTATTTACACACACTTAAGATCACAGCAAACAGTAAGTCAATCAAACCGCATACCATTTACTACAAACCATCCAAAGATCGCATTCAATCACATCATTTGGAGCTACTGTTGGTATTACCGCCCAATAGTATGACAGATATATCCTATCAATTCGATAGAGTGTTCCTGAAGTGGACGGAATACCCGCCGGACGCCAATCACGGCGTTTACGTCAACTCAGCCATAATTAGTGCGAATTTAAACACCGATAAAAACTTCACATATTTGCCAATTCGTGAGACTATTTCCACACAAAACGCGCATTTCGTGAGAATATACACACAAACACTATTAGTATCACTTCCGACGCCTGACTTTTCAATGCCTTATAATGTCATTTGTTTGGTCAGTACTGTCGTTAGTCTAGCCTTTGGACCAATTCATAACTTGACCACAAGAAGGGCTCGAATTGCAGACAATGAAAGTGATAAGAAGACCAAACAGTCATTGATCTCTAGAGTTAAAAACTTTTTTAAGAGAAAAACTGATACTAAAAGTAGTGAACAAAAGGAATAGAGTTTTGGTTTTCATTTACTGTATTGTAATTTATTATATTTTATTATTGGATTCATTTATAATTATTTGAAATAAAATTAAATCTAAAATAACTTAAGAAGTGATGAGAAATTGGATGAAAATAATGAGTGAGTGTGCGATAAACAGCACCTATTCACTTACTTACCCAAATCACAACCTGTTGGTATACTATTTGATTAAGTTACTATCAATTACCGATATTAACGGCGATAAAGAGTTACGTTAGGATACGTACCTAAGAACACGTGTCTATCTGTGAATCTGTGCCACAGATTCTGTACAGAATACGAGTGCCGGTGTCGGCTGAGCCGGCAATACAGCGCCGACTGTCGAGTGTTTGGCGCAATGTATGCGTGAAATGCACTGTAAATGAAGCGCCAATTGATTGTGAGCTTTGGTATGAATGTCAGCCATTACTACAGTATTACGACATTCAGTGTATTGTTTGGTTTGTTTGACACAAACCTCTCACCGGTTCTCAGTTCACGACAAGTCGTTTGCCATACGTTCGCAAACCTATCCATTGCTGCCACTGTCACCACCAACTGATCCATTGAGTCATTGTAAGCAGTGACACTCAAACGCTTGTTTATACAGAGTCAACAGCCAGCTGTTCTTGCGTAAGAAGGCCGCGCAGGCTGTAGAGATGGTGAGAACCTTACATTCTGTACAGACTGGTGGTGAACTGGCGGCTTCTGTCACAACTAACTCAACATCTCAACCGTTGTCTTGTGTTGTCTCTTAACAGAACAGCGACGAAGACTTGGAGAACATCCATAAAGTGGACGCAATTGTGGTGATCGTGGGTCAGGACCCGGATGTGGTCTACAGTAAGACGACTGCTCTTCAGGTGTGACTCATTGTCTGCCATTCATTGCATGAATTGACGTTTGCATTGATTATTGTTTTGTGAAGACCTGGCTCTTCGGGTATGAGATGACGGACATAATGATAGTTCTGTGCCATCAGTCGATCCATGTGTTGGCGTCCAAGAAAAAGGTGGACTTCTTGAAGATGATTGAGTCGAGCAAAGAGAACGAGGAGTCGGTTCCGCCGATCACTCTCTTGGTTAGGGATAAGGTATGTAGTGTTGGGTGTTATGTGGGGTGTAGTCAGGGGGTAGTCCTGTGTCATGACTAACGCATTGATGAATTGGCGGATCAGACGGACAAAGACGGCGCGAACTTCGAGACGTTGAGGACAGCGATCGCTCGGAGCAGAAGCGGCAAAACGATCGGTGAGTTCACGAAAGACAAGTTCAGCGGAGAGTTCGTCGACGAGTGGAAGAAAGTGTTGAATTCACAGAACTACGAGACTTTGGACATCAGTTCTGCTTTGGCCTATATAATGGCGCCCAAAGACGATCACGAGATCGCACTCCTCACCAAAGCGGCCGCTCTCTCGTCAGACATTTACGCCAAATATCTGAGAGAAGAGATCACTGAAATCATTGATTCCGACAAAAAAGTCAAACATTCAAAGCTGGCCGACGGTGTGGAACAGGCCGTCGCTAATAAGAAGTACGTGAAAGGTGTCGATCCCTCACATGTGGACCTCTGCTATACGGCTATCATTCAGTCCGGAGGCAAATATAATCTCAAGTTTAGTGCCGTTAGGTTCGTATGAATACGTTGTGGACTCGATTGGAGTCAATGACTAAGACTTGTATTGTTTGCATTGAAACAGTGATAAAAACAACTTACACTTCGGCGCCATTACCTGTGCTCTGGGCGTCCGATACAAGAGTTACTGCTCTAATATCGTGCGAACACTTCTCGTGAATCCAACGGATGAACAAAAGAGTTTATATGAGTTCTTAGTCGAAGTCCAAGAAAGCGTTTTAGAGAAGCTTAGAGATGGCGTCCGTTTGAGTGATGTCTACCAACACGCCATTGATATGGTGTCCAAACACGACAAGAGTATTGTCGACAAAATGACCAAAAATATAGGCTTTGCTATGGGTTTGGAGTTTCGCGAGGGATCACTGCTATTGGCGCCAAAATCCAACGCAATTGCCAGGAAAGGGATGGTATTTAATGTGTCGATCGGATTCTCTGGGCTTCAGAACAAGTCTGCATCGGATGCCGAGGGGAAGGCATACGCGCTCTTCATTGGAGACACAGTTGTCGTGAATGAGGGATCGGCTGCTAATCTGTTGACTCCCAGCAAAAAGAAACTGAAGAATATTGCGATTATTCTCAAAGACGATGATCAAGAGTCCGAAGAGGAAGAAGACGTTAAGCCAGAGATCATTAAAGAGGAAGACTTTGGCAATCGTGGCAGTCGTCGCACAGCACTCGTTGACAACAAACTGAGAGTAAGTGTGACTTTGTTCGCGAGTTAATGTCCACTAAAATGACACTTGGATTACAGAACGAATCGACGACTGAAGAGAAGCGAAAAATACATCAGAAGGAGTTGTCTGAGAACCTGAATGAGTCCGCGAGAGCCAGACTCGCCTCCAAAGCCGGCAATAATAAAGAGGAGTCGCACAAGAAGTCTACCATTTCTTATAAAAATATGAATCAAATGCCGAAAGAGCCCGAAGTGAATGATTTGAAGATATATGTGGACAAGAAGTACGAAACCGTGATTTTACCCATTTTTGGAATTCCCGTTCCGTTCCACATCTCGACCATCAAGAATATCGCCCAATCCGTTGAAGGCGACTACACTTACCTGAGGATCAACTTCTTCCATCCCGGCGCCACTCTCGCTAAGAGTGACTCCGCTATGTTCACCAATAACTTTGACTCGACATTCCTGAAGGAGTTGACGTACCGGAGCACTAATGTGAAGGAACCGGGAGAGATATCTGCGCCCTCTTCTAACCTCAACACAGCCTTCAGACTCATTAAAGAAGTGCAGAAGAAGTTCAAGACTAGAGAAGCAGAGGAACGGGAGAAGGAAGGGATCGTCAAACAGGACACTCTGGTGTTGAGCCAAAACAAAGGCAACCCTAAGCTTAAGGACCTGTATATCCGGCCCAATATTATAACCAAACGAATTCATGGCACACTCGAAGCCCACGCCAATGGCTTTAGATTCACATCAATCAGAGGCGATAGGGTTGACATCCTTTACAATAACATAAAACACGCCTTTTTCCAGCCCTGCGACGGGGAAATGCTTATTCTCCTCCACTTCACTCTTAAGGTTAATCCGTTAATCCCTTCTCAAGTCCTCATGATTTGCATTGCAATTAATTTATATGATATTCACTTAACCAATAGAACGCTATAATGTTTGGCAAAAAGAAGCAAGCAGAAGTCCAGTTCTATACAGAGGTGGGAGAGATTACCACCGATTTGGGTAAACACCAGCACATGCACGACAGGGACGACTTGGCCGCTGAACAGGCAGAGCGAGAACTCCGCCAAAAGCTGAAGACTGCCTTTAAGACGTTCTGTGATAAAGTGGAACAACTGACTAAACAAGAGGTCGAGTTCGACACTCCCTTCAAAGACCTTGGATTCCCTGGTGTTCCCAATCGTAGTATTGTTTTACTGCAACCGACTTCTGGATGTCTCGTCAATCTCACCGATTGGGTAATGACTCTATTGGACACCATGTGGTGACATGAATTGTGTAATTAATACCATGTCTTACATTAGCCGCCATTTGTCATAACCCTGGAAGAGGTAGAATTGGTTCACTTCGAACGCGTTCAGTTCCATCTGAAGAACTTCGATATGATATTCGTGTTTAAGGACTATAACCGAAAGATATCGATGGTTAACGCGGTGCCCATGAATATGTTGGATCACGTGAAGGAATGGCTTAAGTATGACTTATAGGACTAGAATGAGTGCTTAAGAATGGCTTATGGCTTAAGAATGAGTGCTAATGAGGCGATTGTGTTTCAGTTCGTGTGACATCCGATACACGGAAGGCATACAGTCTCTGAATTGGGCCAAAATAATGAAGACCATAACCGATGATCCCGAGGGCTTCTTCGACTCCGGCGGATGGACTTTCTTAGACCCCGACTCCGATGAGGAGAACCACGAGAACGACGACTCCGACGATGAGGACGACCAGTACAAGCCCTCCGACTCGGGCTCCAGCGTTGAGGAAAGCGAATCAGACTTTTCCGAAGATTCAGCCGTCACTGAGTCGGAGACCGAGGAATCGGGTATTAAAGCAAACAATGGCTTCGTTTGGAAATCAAACTCAATGTTTGCTTATTTCAGAAAACTCTTTGGGTTCGAGTGAAGAGAGCGGTAAAGACTGGTCTGAGTTGGAAGAGGAGGCGGCGGCCGCCGACAAAACCCATTCAGACTTCGTTGACGACTACACTCAACGCAAAGGGAAAGGTGGCGGAGGAGGGAGTCATCATCGGTCTAAACCCCCGCCGCCAAAAATGCACTCATCGATGGGCTCATCAAAGCGTTCATCGATGGGTTCTTCTAAGCATTCATCGATGGGTTCTTCAAAGCATTCATCGATGGGTTCGTCGAAACACAGTTCCATGAAGAGGGGAAGAGATGGTAGGGATGATCATCGCGACAAACACAAGAAAATGCGCAAATAAAGCGCTTTTGTATATGATATATGATACCATTTTTGTCTAATGTTTTTATCACCTTTCAATTAACTCTTAACCATTAAATTTTTGTTTTAGAAGTCATATTACTTTTGAATAAAATAAGTCTAATGTTCATTAATTCTGAATGTATTGTATTTATTGTTATTCAGAAGTGTTTAAAATATTTTAGAAATCATTATTAAAATGATAAAAAATTAAAATAATGGTTGAAATAAAATTAATTATTTGTTTACAAATCATTAAATGATAAGAGATTACGAAAAAGCAGAAAACGATAATTAGCTAAAAGACGGCTACTATTTGTTGTTATTTATTGAGCACTCGTTCTCATTGTTTGATTTACTTTTGGTGAAAGTAGTGATCCATAAGTGGGTCTTCGCGTCCTTCAGAGACATTCTGTCCGATGGCTTCTTCTGCAAGAGCTGTAACGGCAACACAAACAACGGTTATATACAGTGAGAGCCTTAACACGAGGACTCACCCGTTGTACGAAATCGCGGGCCAGTTGTGAGACGTGGTCCGGGAATGTATACTTCACTTCAACGATACGACTGTAGGTCTGTTTGGTGTCGTCGTTCTCGAAGGGAGGCTTTCCCACCAGGAACTCATACGTCAGCACTCCTAAGCACCACAAGTCGACCGTCGAGTCGTACGGCTTATGCAACACCATTTCGGGGGGCAAGTAGTCGAGAGTGCCGCACATGGTGGCCCGTCGTGAGGAGGGCGCGTGCACTGACCACCCGAAGTCCGCGATCTTCAGCTCCTCGTTGTAACCGAGAAGTATGTTCTCCGGCTTTATGTCTCTGTGGATCACTTTCCGCGAGTGACAGCACTCGAGGGCGTCAATCATCTGCAGGATATACTGGAAATGCAAACATAATTAAGTGGCAAATCGTGGCAACCGATGGACCCCTTGTGGCGAGACATACATTGGCCGACTGTTTGTCATCGAAATGGTTGGCTTTGCGGAGCACTTTGTAGAGTTCACCTCTCGGTGCGAACTCCAGGATCAGGTAGACTCGGGTCTCGTCGTAGAAGTAGCCGTAGAGGCGGAGTATATTGGGGTGTCTGAGGTGTGCCTGGATCTCGATCTCGCGTCTCAGTTGGTGCTGAACGTTGTTTTTAATGAGTTGTGATTTGAACATCACTTTGAGGGCCACTATGTATTTGCTGGACCTCTCGCGCGCGAGATAGACGTTCCCGAACTTGCCTTTCCCTAGTGGGCGACCGATCTCGAAGTCAGACAGTGTCCACCTCTTCGCACCACTTCCTCCACTACACCACAAACACGGCTTCACTTCAGTACAAATCCGTTATAATAGGCATGAAATATGTCATACCTTTGGCCGACCGCTTGTTTGGCTGTGCCCTCCATCGCATCACTCTTCAAGTCCATCGTTTGGCCGCAGACTCGATGACAGATGGGATCAGATGAGTGACAAAATGGGATCCAATGGCAGGTGTGAGACAATGACAACACGAATGGATGGATGAGTCGATTGAGTCTATTGTGTCTCAAATGCTCACTATTTCTGAGTTCACGTAACGTTTAAATGAGAGGCAAATGTGAGAACCAATCGAATGCACGGATAGAGCGCTCACAACACCCGCTCAGCCAATGGTTGAACCCATGAATTACGTCACTCTTTGGACGCATTGTTCGCACAAAACAACGCCTTTTGCGGTCTTCGAGCACGTGATTGATGGACACAAAGCACACCATGTGTTGAGTGCCGAAGACATCACCGCAACGTTTGCTGAATATATCGTAAGACTATTATCGTTGACACCAATTGTCACCCAAATTACATCCAACATCTCGTGAGCAAAGAGTGGGACGTCTTCACCAAAAATGGTAATGAATTGATAGTTAGAAACTCATGTCGTGTTTGTGGAGTGAATGCATGAATTAATGGATGTATTAATGGATGTCTTGTTGTGGTGTTGCAGACGATCTCGAAGAACAACAAAATGGTTCAGTTCATCAACTATAGGATGCGAGTGAGTGTATAACAGATCTGATGCTCGGAAACCTTGAATCGCGTTTCAATGCATTCAAAGCCCTTGAAAGAGTGGAATAGAGATGAGGGGAGCGGACGATCACCTCTCGATGACCTCCACTACTGCCTGAGCCTTGAATTAGTCCTTCAGTCGTCCTCTCGTGACCCGACTCTCTCGTGTGTCGGCATTGAGACACTCTCTCTGTACCCAAAGAGTTAACTCAGAGGCAGAGCTATACCTTCAACTCGACGGCACACCACTGCGAGCACACTAACACACCAACGGGTCATCACCACCAGACCCCTACCAGACCCCCACCAAAGGGTTCAAAGTCCCACTAATAGCTCAACACTACTCCTATACTACCAGTGCTAAACTACCAGTGCTAATCTCGCTTTCACTCTATTTACGCACATCTCCACTACTTTTTTCACAATTAAGTGATTCATTTATTTAAATTATTATTTGTCGCATGTTTTCATTGCACAGGTATTTACCATTCAATCAATTATTATATTCACCATTTTTATAGCATTGAATTTAATGTCAAATATATTATAATATTCTATTGACTCTAAGATTAGTACTTTCAATGAGAACTTATTTTAATCATTAATATAATGTTATTCCTATAAAAATGTATGAATAAAGTCTATTTAAATAGAATTCTACATAAACTATCTAGGGTACTGTACAATTTAGCAAGGTATTGATTTTAATGTGACTGATTTTAATAGTTAATTCCCATTGAATAACATACAAAAAAAGTTAAATTGTGACCAATGGGTCGCATTTTAATTTCAAACTAAATGGTGATTTAAAAATAAACTAGACACGTTTAATTGCAATATTTGGTGTTGTGATCAGTGATCATTCATCTAAACAATTAAACACAAATACAGTCACCATGATTATAATTAAGTGAGTAATTTGTAATGATTTGATGGCAGTATTGTGATAAAAATGATGACAACAAACAATTAACTAATTGCGAGCATAATTGCGCCACAAATTGTCACATATGTACCACAACTTAGAGGGCTCAATATAACCTATCATTTGTGATACTAATAGTTATTTAATTATAATTAGTTTTAAAGTTATTTAAACTTAAAAACACTTCAGTCGCAAAAAAAACTGTCGCATTAAAATCAATACTTTATTACTGTATAACATAATTTTAAAAACTATACTAAATTCATACAAACTATTTATTATAGTCATTTTCAAATCATTTAAGTAATAAATAATATAATGTGCTTATTAAAAATCTGTGAAAATATCACCAAGGAAATGTACCGTAAGATTAATATTATATAATTGCATTTTACAGGATTATAAAAATTATAAACATTTTTAGCTAACCTACATATTTGATTATATCACTGTTATATATGTGATTTCTGGCCCAAAATAATTTGAATTTATGCAAAACATGTAACTTATAATTTACTACAGATTATTATTATAGTCAAGTATTTGATAGTCAAATAACATTAGAATTGTTGTTGTTTTACAATCACCTGTCAATACTAAACCTTATGTCAAAACAAATACAACTCTTTTAGTCTTAAAGTTTTTAAGAAAACCAAACCAAACCCTACCACCGATTGAATGATTTCTTTAATGTACAGTATATACTGTACAGTATCATCAATTCATGTAATAAAAGGTATTTTTCAAATTAATTTACTGCTGAACAACAGTTAAGTGGCATGCACAAAGTACGTACGCACTGCTAGGGGGAGGGGATCAAGCGTATATTATATTGCAGCGTTCATAGTCAGCGTATGTATGCATTAGTAACAGTAAAATGTTTGAAAACTTTTAATTGATTGCGTTGTTGCACAAAGTACGTACGCACTGCTAGGGGGAGGGGATCAAGCGTATATTATATTGCAGCGTTCATAGTCAGCGTATGTATGCATTAGTAACAGTAAAATGTTTGAAAACTTTTAATTGATTGCGTTGTCAAGCATTTGATCCAACTTTTAACCCGAGTTCTGAGTGTCAACTGCATTACGGTCTCAAACTATACGTTCAAATTGGGAATACTGTACGAGTGGTGCACTTCACCATCACTTCTAATATACTATATATGAGTGCAAATGCATTACACAATCAATTCATGACCACAAGTGACAGATCACTGCCAACTACTCCACTCCGGAGTGCCCTTAAGAACCACAGATCACCTCAAATTGATTTCGAGTCAACAGTGATTTGTATGGAAAAAGTGCGCGAAAGAGCTCACCTCAGGAGGCGGTGGGCCCTCGACTGTGAGTGAGACGATGTTCTGACCCCTGAGGAGGACGAAGCCGAGGACGCGCTTCTCCTCGCGATCGCCGCCTTTGTTGGTCTTAGACTTCATTTTGCGGAACTCCTCACAATCGGCTAATATTAAGTTCATGTGTTTGTCAAACGCCTTGAATGTGCCGATGAATGTGCGGCTGTCCTGAAGGCTCACTCGCATCCTATAGTTGATGAACTGAACCATTTTGTTGTTCTTCGAGATCGTCTGCAACACCACAACAAGACATCCATTAATACATCCATTAATTCATGCATTCACTCCACAAACACGACATG